AAGTATTATGATTCTTTGATATCAGATCATTATATGTTATAGATTGATGATTGGTGGTTGTTTGATATTCAAAATCAAAATTTGTAAGGCTTTATGATACAAAATAAGCAAATTAACATTATTGTCTATCTTTTAAGGAATGAGAAGGAGCTTTAGTGAAGAAGGTAACAGGGATCTCCACAGCCATTGGGAAGGAGGAAGTATTGGTGATGGTGATAAACTTTGCTACAGCGACGAAGATCTCGATAACAGTATCTCTGTTGACGACAGTTGGTTTCAGACAAACAAAAATGCGCCAGACTCTACTCCTGTAATCAGCTTTGCAGAAAGTTGGGAGGCATGGCTTAAACAAAGTGCCAACAGCAAAGAAGATTGTGTTCCATTTGAGTGGCTCTTGAATGATAACACAAGCAACGATCATAGCACAATGTTTTACTCCCTGAAGTATTGTGATTCATGTGAAATTTATTTCACCAATAATTACGATTTCCAACAACATTTAAAACTTTGCAGAATTTATCCAATGTGCAAAGTTTGCAAAAGGTCCTTCAGTAACCGTGCAGACCTGCATAGGCACATCAGTGTCAGCCAACATAAAGTTGTGGCCAAGGAAGACTGGAGGAGAGTGTCAAAGGCAGAGTATATTAGTCTGTGTAGAGAGGGCAGAGTTTTTACAAGTGAATACCTTTCTGTGAAGCAGCATCTGAATAATAGCGAAAATAGGCAGAACAGTCAAGGGAAAGGGAAAGCAGTACTAAAGAGTCAAAACAACTCTTCCTCATATCAATGTAGTACATCTACAGCATATAACAGTCAAGCACATATTCTGCCATTTCCAGATGTCTTAGAAGAGGAGTTTGAAAAGAGTTCACAACATACAAAAAATTTTCCGCCCGATGAATGCAACAACAATGGACCTAATCAAACCGGAAAAGAAAACCTGACAACAAAAGGCCTTCATACTCTATTTTTTTGTCAGATGTGTAATACTTATTTCATATATCTAAAGACTTTTAAAAAGCATAGAGGAAAATGTACTGGGAAAAATATTTGCAAAGTTTGTTTCCAGAATTTCAAGAATTTCAAACTTCTCCTAAATCATATAAGAAAAGAGAAACATGCTGTACAACAAGATACTGCCCATATAAATGCAAGTCATAAAACCTTTCAGAGACTCCTCAAGGCCAAGAGAATTGCTCCATGTGATGTTTTAGAATACCAAGCAAATGCAAAGGAAAATGTAACAAACCAAAAATCTGGAAATAAAGAAGTGGAAGGCACACTTTCCACAACACCAGTGGCTGAAGCATGTGTGGAACAAACTTCTTTAGTAGAGAACATGCCTAAGGAGAAGATAGCCAATGGCAAATGTGATGGAACAATCATACATGAGAAAGATAATTCGTCCACGGAGAAAAGTAAGATAGTAGGCAAGGAGTGTGCATCAAAGGATAGCAGTGTGAATTTGCTAGGAGAGGAGCAATTAAGCAAAACCATGGTTATAGAAAGAGAGACTTCCAGTGAATTGGAAGACAACCTAAAATTAGAGAATGAAGTCAGCATCAGCAAAGGGGAACTTCCTGTGACTCAATATGAAACAGTGAATGATCATATCAAGCAAAGCCCAGTGTCTCCTAGTGACAGTGGATGTCAGATGGATGATATCTGCCATGACATTGATAGCCCTTTTATTGGCCTGGATATCAAGGAGGAGGTACTGGAAGAGAGTATGAATACCTCATCACTCCAAGCTGTTGATGAGAGAGAGATGGGAAAAAAAGTAAATGATAGTACTATAAAAGAAGAGAGAGAAACATGTATTACACTAACAGGTGAAAAACTAAAACGAAAAGAGAGTTACAAGCCCTTACCTAAATCTGTAAAAATAGCAAGGCTGGAACACAAAACGACTTCCCTCTCAAAGTATCTAGAAGTGCAGAAACATCCCGAGAGACCGGTCCGCTGTATAAAGCTAAGACGAAGGACAGAATATTGCCCTGGTTGTATGGAATCGGTTGATGCTAGATCAGCCATTCTGAATACAGAAACCTTTGAAGTGTCAATGTGGTGCAAGACTTGTGCTTGGAGTATATTCTTTACTGACTTCTTTCATCCACAGTGAAATCAACAACATAAAAACTTAATTTGGTAAATTATTTTGTATCTCATAAAATTGCTCAAACTGTTTTTGGTTTTACAATACATTGCTATTTTGGAGAATATGATTGTTATTTTTATACTGGAGTCCTTTCTGACTTTATCCCGTTACTATTGGTCATTATCATCATTAATGTTGATCATCCTCATCCTCTTTTGCCATGGTTTATAGTTCATGCCAAAAGTTTTAAACTTTGTTTCCATAATTTTTAAGTTTGTTTTCATACCTTGAAGTACAACTTAGACTATGAATAAAATTAATACCCATTTTAAGCTCAGTTCTCTATATACAAGTGTGTTTATTTTGTGTTTATGTTAATATTTTTTATATGAAGCACAAATT